TTACAGATAATTAAAGAGAACAGATCCAGTTCAGCTTGTTGTTTATTAGTTTCTCTGGAGGTTGTGAGCTGCTGTCCTTTAGTGTTTCTGCTCCTCCATGCTGTCAGAGGCTACCTGTGGACGGGGTGGGCGGGGCTTCGTCTACTGATCTTATTCAAATCTGTGTTCTACAGCGCCCTCGTGTGGCTGGTTTAAAAACTTCATGGCCCCGCCCACTTTCCCCCTCCAATCACCTGAGGTGAACCGATCATGACTGACATGTCCCAGACACCTGAAGTTAAATTTTAGGTCATTAAAATAAATCTTAGTTATAAACTGTGCAGTAAATGTAATAACTTATTAGATATTTGTTCCTGAAATGAGGCCCAGATAACAAATTACTAAACTTTATACGTTGTTAAGATTATTTTACTTATTTTTGAATAATTCATTAGATTTGCTGCTTGTTCTTCATGTCTTGTTTGTGAAACAAGTGAATTTCTCCTGAATTACAGAGCTGAGCTGCTGGGTTCACCTGTGCAGGTGTCGCCCCCTGCTGGCTGCATGGAGCAGCTGCAGGTTTAAAGATGGCAGCTGAGGAGGATTTTATTTTCTATAAGCTTTAACCTCTTCAGCCCCAATAATTTCCTTGAGCTTCCTGCTCTAATCCCATGATGAAATGTGACTGAGTGAATCTCAGCATTAATAAACTCTACTTAAATTATCTTTGTATCAAAATAAAGCTAACATTTGGGAGATTTCATCAAAGTGTAAGTATTAAAACAGCTGCTGTTTAGAGAGATATTGATGGAACATTTTTTTACCCTCCCGTTTGAATAATGTTTTCATTACACAGTATTTAAACCATTTAAAACCATAATGAATCAGGTAAAAACTCTTGAAACCATAAATCCACCTGTGGACATCACCTGTACAAAGATTCATGCTGTTAAAATGAACTGGAGCAAAGTTACAGAGGTTTTAATGAAATAATTTAGTGTTTGTCGTTCTGCACAGGACAGACCATGATGGTTCTGTTAATAAATGTTAACAAATCTGAAGTTTTTAATTGCAAAACTTAATAACTTTTTCTTACCGGCACACTTTATAACTTTAGTAGTGGTGCAACGATACAGAAAGTTCACGATTTGGTTCATTATTTAAGTGTCACAGTTTGATTTTTATACAAAAAAAGAGAAATGTTCATGCCCTTTTTAATTTGTAATTTATTTAAATTAATTATGAACATTTGTTTAACCTCAAAAGCTGTTTTTAAATTAAATGTTGCTGAAACAAGTTTCTCAGTGGATCTGTGCTCCACAGTGCAGCCTAGGTGGAGTAGTCGAACACAGATCCACTGATCCTTCAGAAGACAAGATGATAAAATAAATTTATAAAATCTGTGTTGTTGCATCTTTGATTTCGCCAAGATTCATCTGTTTCTATTGAAACCAAACATGACCAGGTTCAGCTGACAGATCAGGTTAATACAAGTTAAAATAGAAAATAAAAAGCTTTTTAGCATGGGGCTAAAGAGGTTAAATAAAAGTTTTATTTATTTTATAAACTGTTATTTAATCTAATATTCAGTTTCTGATCTTTATAATCWACGACTCTTTAAACAAAATGACACAAATGTTTGTTTTAGTTTTTAATTAWAAAACTGCCTCTGGAGCAGAAAACACTTTGACAAATAAAACAGACTGAAACAATATAACATTCTTCTTGATTTACATGGTTCTGGTGTTGTACAGTTTAGAACAGAACCGGGCCAGAGCAGAACTCTTCCTGGATGATCCCTGAACGTAACGGCGCCTCCTCACAGCGCTGTATTTTCTTTAGGCTTCGATTTTCTCACCGAACGCTACGAAAATCAAAACCTAAAAAAACCACAGAGCCACGGGTCGATGATGTCATCACGAGGCGCCGACCCGACGTGCGGCTCGGGTCTGGGCTGCGGAGGTTCYGGACGACAGCCGAAGAGCCTGGAGCCAAGTCCTGTTGAAGCTGAGAGCAGCAGCAGCAGCGCCCCCTGCTGCTGAAGACCGGAGTGGAGAAACCAGCTGCAGGGACCAGAGCGACCCGCTTCAGACCAACAGAACCTGAACAGAACCCAGATGAACAGACTTCTGATGGTCGTGAAGGATAAACTGTTTGTWGCTCCTGAAACCGGCGCCGACGTCTCGCCACAGACTGAAGTGACCTCATCGCTCCCTGCTGTTGCCTAGCAACAGGCTCCCTGCTTCACAGCCACCACCAGCCTGAAGCTGCGTCACCTTCAGGTTTCAAATAAGTCCAGTCCAGTCCAGTCCAGTCCGGTCCGGTCCGGTCCTGGACCCATATTTAAACTCCTTAGAGTGGAGTTTTCACTGCAGTGATGAGAATTTATTACATTTACTTTGACTTTCAGACTGAAGTGTAAATAACAGTCATCAGATGTGGACTGGGGGTCTCAGACAGAGGATGGAGG